ATAGTTACAAATGTGTATCACCGTATTAATACTAGCTACTATTAAAATAGTAGCTAGTATTAATACGGTGATTCATGTAATTCCCAGCCAGCATGTAATTCCCGGCCAGCAAATGCCCAATTACAATCATCCATGGACTATGATTGGACAAAATTATGTACTCCAGAACAATGGACAACTCAGGATGGACTTCTTGTATCCAATACTTTAAGCATTTAATACTGAAATTGTCGGACAGACATGTAATACACTGAAATTATTGAATACCGCTTACGCTTTGGGCGCAATCTCCTAGTGTATTCATCGTTTACTTCTTCTAACGTTAACGGTATTAGTATAATGTAGTGCACTACTACGTAGTACTACTACCTCCGTGCGAAAATGATTGATAGATTTACACTTACGTACAATTTTTATCCGTTTATAGAACTGAAATTTTTACTGTACACCTATGTTGATCTAAACCTTTGTATGTGGATAATTCTACTACATATTGGATATAGCTATATAAAATTATAAGGATATACAGTCAAAATCAATGATCATTCCTGACTGTTTTGTCCCATATCTTCAAGGGTAACGTGACCGACCATTGATGGGCCGAATGTGCCGACTTGTCATCCGATCAAAACCTCAATCAATTTGCATTGGCCAAAATCCAACCTCTATAGAACGTATACCTGTATGAATGCATGAAGGGTCTCTCAATATTGGTGTTTATAATTACTACTAACGTATATAACATCGTAATTGTACCTTGTCCAAAGTGGGTGAAATCTACGTTTTCAAGACTTACAGTTACCTCAAGCATAAAAGTCGCCCCATCAATGTAAAGCGTCAACTTCAAAAACTCATTGTGCAAAATATAAACCGTTTAAATGAATACGTTTTGAGTTTATTCGAAAGAGCGAATCGTTATACATCCAAAAATCTATTTTCACTGTACAAAACGAAAAAGCGACTGAAATATTCGAAACTAAACTCATACCGTACAGAGGTAGTGCTACAGTAGTGATACTAACCCCTTACAGTTAGCTCGATTCAGTTAGAAGGCAATTAAACTGTTTGGAATTGAAGTAATATAATTGTAAAGATGGCCGCTCCAAACAGTGAATCATTGATTTGCCGAAATATAGATTTGATTAAAGTACTGGTAATACCTCGATCAAACAATACAATTATTAATTTATACAGTTACTATTCCTTTATAAAGCATTTACACTTGTTAACTGTAAGTATCATAGGTTCAACGTAACAGGGAACGACGGAATGCAAGGCCTACTTGTCTTCGAGTCCTACGTGAATTGGATGGATCATTTGATTGGATTGCTAACTTCGATGTACTTTTCGTTTTGAGCCAATCAGTGCGCAATTTTGAATTTTTTATTCACGCTGACTGACGTCAATTCATTTTATTACAGGTAATTATATTGTGTAGTATGATTTCCCACCAATATGGCTGCAAACGACAACAATATGGGATGTAAAGAACCAGGTAATCGGTTTACGAAGGTATCCTACACAAAATATATGAATGGATGGATGATTCCAGTCCAAGCGTAAGCGTTTGACGCGGTAGCTCAATGGTTAAGGGCGACGGCATCAAAGTGATAGAGGAAAGGGCCCAGGTTTAATTCCCGGGCAGTGTCAAACGTTTTCCCATTATTTTACATTAATCTAAATCCTGTTACAAGAATGAAGATAACTTAAACACTTTCAGTGGAAATTTAATTAACGCTGAAATTATTGGACATCCTTCAGTGGGGGAGAGCTTTCTCAAAACTACGGCAAATCTCTTGGCTCGAACAAAGGTCTCATGCTGCAATCGACCGCTTCACCAATGCCATGCGCTTTTGAGGCGAGGTAAGAGAAAATGGGTCATCATCATCACCAACAATGATGTGTTCGAGCAGCCACAAGTTATAAAGGTTGCGCTTAAATGGCGCCATCACACCAACGTCAAGGGGTTCAAACACGGACGTCGCGTTCGGTGGCAATGCACACAGGTGGGCTCCTAGCTCCTCGTACACGATGGTGTACGACTTATCCGCCACATGTGACTCGACGTTGTCCAGCAGCACGACTGACGGCTCCTCCATCGCTTCACCGAGGACATCCTAAAGGTATATGGCCCATACACGCTTGTCTATCCAGGAATGCTCCTGAACCGCGTAGTCATGGCCGGGAGGGACGTGCTCAGCTCGCCGCTGTCGATGCGACCGCCAGGCACCCGCTTCATGATGAAGAGGTGGTCAGCTGGGTACCATCGGCTCGTACCGAGATGACCGCCGTCATGCGAAGCGAAGGCTTCTCCCCGCTCGAGTTTTTATAGCGTTCGCCTCGCACCGTTAAAATGTAGCGCGGTGGCATTTCGAAATAGATGCTAGTTTCATCAACGTTGTACACGCATTCCTTGCCGTACACAATGTACTCAGAGTGGAACTCCGCGGTGAAGTCATTCTGCACCTCCGCAAGATAGGCTTGCTTGACCTTGTTCTTGGTGGGACTCTAGTGGAAGAAGCCATGACGATCGCAGAAGCGCTGGAGCAGGCGGAGGAGAGAGTCATACGACGTCGACTCTTGCTTGGTGGCGAGGTAGTAGTTCAACCACTCACGCTGGTTGTCCTTGATCCACAGGATGAGATGTGTAGTCGTGAGGGCGCGCTCATTGTCGCGGACATGGTTTATGAACTCGATGAGTCTGATGTGTAATGATGTTTGTAGTACTTTGAAGTTCGGTTAAGTCGTAAATTTAACGGTATGAGCTGGGAAAATCAATTTCCCATCCGAATTATAGCGACCAAGTCTAAAAAAGCCCGTGGATTGGAGTTCAATCAACGATGGGGTGAAAACACAAGAAATAAATATTGTAGACCGACGAGATGGATGAGAGACATCTCAAGGAGGTTGTCCGGCTTGGCCCGAACGGTGTTGGTCACGGAAAGGCCAATGCAACGTGGGCAAATAGCACCTGTGCCAACGGTGCAGTGGCCATTCTGGACGCACCTGCCAGACAATATGCGACCCGAATTCTCAACGAGTCGATATACTTGATTGCATATTTGATATGGGTATGCGGTCATGCTGCTTCAGTAGAGTTCAAAGTTTAAATCCGAGTGAGGTTTGCGAAGCTACCTGTAGTAGCACAGCAACTGGCACCGACATGGTGGTATATGCCATTGGTCTTTTGAATTTCCGGATATTGCAGTACCACTTTCGCAGTGCGCGTGAATCCATGCGCTCGAAGACAAGTTGGGAATTTGAATCAAAATAACGACTTGCTAAACACCTCTATTGCGTCTCGTCTTACATTGCTTTCGTAGCAATCGAGGATCAAGGACTTTACTGCCAATGCTATATACTAGTACGAAGTACTACGTAGTAACATAATTCCTCGAATAATATTAACTAACAAAGGGTTTCATTCCTGTGTAAATAATATCAAATTATGAAATTCTATTGGGCAAGATGTTCGGCAAATCAATGATTGGTTACGTTATCATCGAATGGAGTACAGAACTAACGTTACAAGTACTATTAATAGTACTTTACATATTACTATAATAGTACAGTACCGTACTACTGTACAGTAAAGCCGTACTACTACGTAGTATTAATAGTACTGGGAAATTCTACGTACTGTAGTACACTCAGGGTAGTACACTATCATGTATTTTTTTGTACTATTGTAGGGGCCTTTTGCGATGATACCAGGGTCATACAAACTGTAATATAAATATGAAATATTGCGAATTTGGTTGTTTCGAAAGTAATCGTAGAAAGATCATGATAACGTTAGTGTCTTCAATTTGCACTGATTTACTCCAATTTTGGGCAAAAAATGCATGAAATATTCACAAAATGGCAGGGACTGTACAGTGTAATAATACCGTTCTCATAAAAATATGTTTGAGCCTGCCTTTAAGCGGGGGGATGTGCATGAAATCCACAGTCGATATGTAGGATTGCATGTCCTGTGACCTATAGGTTAGCCCAATACCGTACATAATCGGTGAGGCTCCATTCTAATGTGTGGGGGCCGAAGGGATGTGGAACCGATACGTAACCGATTCTGAACGGCCAAAGGATACACATTGCACCGCATGTGCACGTACAAAGTGTGTCCGGATCCATTTGCGAGGGGTCGACTGGGTCCCTTGCACCAAGCCATTGACTGCCTCAGGTCGTTTTACAACCCCCGACACCAGTTTTATCACTCAATCAACTTGTTGACCTGACTGGTACTTATAGTGGTGCAGTGGTAGCCATCGAAGACGTTGTATTTCCCGACGCAGACACGGCATTCGCGTGGTTGCCAACCCTCGCCTACGACATGCAACTGGTATTTTTTTATGTGTCTGCATCCTTCATTCGAGTGTCAACCTATAACCTGTTCCATGTCATTCTCACACCTACTGAAATGTCCTGGGTTGGATTGATCGCAGGTACAACGCATTAGCCATCCAAATCTCCTGCGATACGTGGGCTTGACAGTGTCCGACGGGCACCGCCTTCATGTTGTGTCAGAACACGTAGCAGGCGGGACGTTGCAAAGGTAGGCCGTTCGACTTCCGCTGCGTTGGTTGTCATCTGTTGGAATGGCAGTAGTTTTGATTGACTTTTGGTAGACTCTTGACCGATTTTGGTCCGCTGCATCGCGCGATTGTGCCGCAATATATTCATGGCCTCCTTTGTGGATTGCACCAACTGCACACTGTACGTACGTCCAACGAGTGTAAACACTTGGTCGATCAAGATTTCTTTGTTTTTCATGTATTTTCTACAGCACGATGTCCCACACGGAGACCTGTCGAGCGCTCGCATTTTCCTCGGACAGCATGGACGATTGATCATTGGCTGCTACTTCCCCACCATGGCCACCATGGACGCCCTCCACCACCACCGGTATCGTGATCGAATCGAGTAATCGAGTGTGGTTTGCATCAATATTATTCAACGTCAGTTGTAGGGTGCTGCAAGGACTGGCAACAACGACACGGGTGGTGTCTAGTACTTCTAGTAATACTACTAGTAGTAGTACCAATGTCATGGCAGAGGCCATGGCGAGGGATTTCAGGGGCGTGTTATGGCTCATGACGGAAATGCTCGTCGGGGGGCGCGTGGTAAAAGGCGTGACATTGTATCATACATATATTTGCTAACTTTATATTGTGGGTGGCACATATATAAATGTACAGCTGATACCTTATTCTTCTTGCGTAGCGCGGCATCGACATCGACCCGCCACGCCTCTGCCAGTTGATTGCAGATTACCCCTTGGAGCAATCGTTTTTAGCCCACGTATTGCAGCTCGTTCCCGATCTATGTCGCATGCCTGTGGATTCTGCGTACGAAATCGTGCTGAACCATCCATATCTCGACGCTCAAGTGACGTGGCCCCAGCTAGTCTTGCAGGAAACCCCCCAGCAGTCCGACGATTGACATACAATCGTATTCAGTCATGTGATGATGGTTTGTAGAGCGCGGGCTACCAAGGCGGCGCTGGAATTGGAGCACTGTGTTGGCGTTCGCGCCGAGCTCTCCATAGCTATCGATTCGTGGCTCGGGGGTATGTTGGCGGTTTCACTCACCCCCCGTGATACTGGAAACTGACACTGTATTCTGTTTTTTTGTTTCAGGGTTTGAAACAGCGCATGGCCGCCCCCCCAAGAAGAAGGAGTGGCCGCCGGACATCGTGGAGCTGCACACGCGCCTCTCGGCGTTGAAAGTGCACATGCAGGACCTGCACGACGCCGCTACCCACGACAAAGCCAGCATCTTTGGCCACAACCGACACTTGCCGAGTCAAGGAGCAGTAGTAGAGGCCCAGCGAAGCACGTCAGGTGGAGGGGACACGCAACGGCAAACAAGGAGATCGACAGCCCAAGAGTCGTTCCTGCTTCAAGCGTCAACATCTCACCATGTGGCCACATCCCATGTTAGTTGATGGTGGTCATTAAATCAACACCACTTGGAGTAGCTTACTCGGTTCTACTAACGTTACACTCCATAGTTATTTGTCCGCTGATTCCCCTTCTTATGTCGTTCGTCATGATGACTAAATTGCGTCTGGGATACTACGTGATACTGTACGAGCATCATGCAAGTTTACGATGCCACATCCAGCATTAGTCCAGCGCCGATTTTTCGACACTGGGTTGTACTTGTTCGGTTACACCAGCAGTGGTTACACGAAGTATATCGGATACGCTCTTGATGTGAAATGCCCAACATTGTCCGAATGAATCGGGTGAAATCTACCCCCATGGCGAAGAATGACATTGTGCCGTTTAGTTCCATCACCCGCCATTCTCCTCCTCTTCGCCATCGCGTCTGGCTGTGCCTCGTCTAATGCGTCGTCGCTCGTGTGCAGGTACCTCTATTTACCTCTGGCAGCTGCATCCCCACGTCGCCAACGACTATGTACCGGCGGCCCGTCTTCAACACACGTCCGACATCCAAAGGTTCGTCCTCGCCGATCTGGTCAATGCCCAACTCAGCCTCCATTCGTCGAAACGGCGCCGATTGGACTGGACGACCGTGGCGCCTCCGGTCTATTATCAAATCGTACGCCGTGTCACCCAATCGCATGGAGTGGAGCTCGATGGACGTACGCGCTCAACTGCTCCCGACTGACCTACCCCTCAATCAAGTAAGTGGTCACAGCCATGCGATGCAACTCGCTGGATGCCAACTGGTCCATGTTCCCAGCATACTGCTGACTGGATATGTGCCAGTTGGAACCTTCCACGTGGCACATACCGCGAGGCGGCAAAATTGATGCGACCGCAAGTATCGAACCAACGGGGCAGTGTGCTACTAGTTCGGAGCGTTCCGTCTGATGCGCTGGTCACGTCCGCTTGGGCTTCGGCAATGAATGTGATGCTCTTGACGCATCTGCGGTCGACACGTTTAGGGGTCGAGTGGTTGAGGGGCATCATAAGGCACGAGTGGGTGCCAGTGCCGGACAAAGTAGACGCGTGGCATAGCGTCGGTGTACTACTACGGGTGAACCAGTATGAAAATTTGAAGACATTGACATCAGCGACTGTATGACAATGGAAAACCCGCTGGGGTTCCAACAGGGGATTCAAAACTCGGATCTGATCGTGCGGGACCTCAGATTCTGCACCGCCCTCGTTCGCACGTCCTCGGGCCGTTCACTGTCATGGATCTATTTTGGGTGCCCAAGCCCGCGGACGTGATTGTTGTCGCCGAGATGCCAAACACTTGCGCTTGGCCTACGCTGTGACTTCGTTCGATGACGTTGCGTCGTCGTCCGCGGCGGTGCAGGCCAGCCGCGTGCCGCCATCTGACCGTGGGAGCGACTTTATTATAATGGAGGAAGCCCCGTTTGAAACGACCCTTCCGTTCGTGCAGGAAACGTTCGGGTTCGACGACAGCGAGCCAGCAGCCGTTGGTCGTGCCGCTGCGTTGCAATTCCACCCCATAATGATGCTCGAATGACTTGTCACCAATACATGAAACAACAGCGGTAAGCACATGTGTGATATGTGCCTTCGCCCCGCGGTCGCTTGTCATGTGGTGGTGGTGGACACCATGTGTTGCCGCTGCGCCTGCAAGTTCAAGTGTCACTTCGTCACTTGAACAAGTCAATCTTGGAGGAGAAAATGGCGAGTCTCAATATCAGGCTGATGCAACAAGCGACTTGCGATGGCGTCGACGAGGACGTTGTCTTGGTCGAGCCCTTAGTTTCCAGTGCGTATGATGGTCTTGCTGACAACAACGCAAAGATGTTTTCGTTTTTTGGATGGGTCAAGTTCTTACGATTGGGTGATTGGCATCTGGGAAGTGGTGGCGTTCAAAGGGGATCTCACGTCTCGGTATTCCCCTCTGGTGTCGCTTGCGGCCAAACCGCTAGAGTTGCCTCTACATTAGGGTAATCTGTATCTACTGTACGTGAGCTTTGTGTTGACCATCGTGGTCTTGCTTATTGTGTTGTCATCGATAAACAGAAATCACCATCTCAATCCTAGTCAATCGACTGGCTTGTGGAATTCCAATCGGGTTTATGTGGGTATGCTGATCGTTCAGCTCATCACGTCCCCCGTCGACATCGAACGCACACTCGAGACGCTGTGACCCACATGAGCCTGTCCCCTCAACAGTGGTGGCGTCGATGGTGCTCCACTTCGTCCCCCGAGCTAGCCGAGGTGCACGTCGATTTGTATCTCACCCCCCAACCCTTTCACGACGACTCTCCTGTCGTCGGGGGAGGTGGTCTGGGTCGTGTTCGTCCTCCACATCGTCACGCACAATGTCGCGGGCGGGTACGCTTGGAAAAGCAGCTTGGGTGTGTGACGGTGGTGTGGAGCCTCCTGCTTCCCGTCGACCACGTCGTGACGATCGATCGACATTGCACCATGAGGAAGCGGTAGACGTTGAGCTCTCGTGCAACACAGCGGCACGCTTTTTCATTGGCCGCTTCGACCGGTTCTAGAGCATCCTCGTCGTCGTCGACGTCAGCACCTGCGTCGTGTGTTTGGTCATCGAGCGCGTTCGAGGCAACGCCCCGATGCTCCCTCGGCCGTCCACAGTGCTGCATTCAACTGCATTGTACATATCAGTTTGACCAGAGGCGAATTGAACTTCTTTTGATGGCATGTACTGTACAAATTGGATACCCACATGGACTCGACCCATCCGCCACCCCCAACGGATTGCTTGTGGTCAAGTATCGTACCGGAAATGTTGTGTGTGGTGGGTGGTTATGCTGGAGCGATCGCCGCACCACATCGGACGTCAACGCTTGAACCACACGAATTCCAATGTGAAAAGCCATAGATGTGTGTGTGTGTATGTGTGATTCTTGAGGGCGTTCAAAATAGGTTAGTCAAGTAGTATGTATGTAGATCAGCTAGTATCAGCTAGAATAATGGGCCGATCACCATGTACTACCACAAGTGCTCACTTGCATTGTTGTCACACGATCAGAGGAGATGTCCAATGCCCTAAAACAAATGCACGTTTGAAAACCCACAACGTTACACCACCAACATTCTATTTTCGCATCAATTCTAACGTTAGGACTATTCAGGCAACAAACAAACTACGGAATGTGCATGGTTTGGATGGCAAGTTCAAAAGCGCTCTAGCCATTCTATTCGACAATCAAACAACCCAGTTGACTGGCTTAACATATCGGGGTAGCGCCATCGGTGCGACAGAGCGGGCACTCTGAACTCACGCCCAGCCAATCCAAGACGCATTCTTCATGAAAGACGTGCGAGCACGGCAGCTTGACCACGCGCATGTCTGCGTATTCGACTTCGTTCCACTCGCCCAGGCAGATGCTGCAGCAGTCGCTTGAGCTTCCATCAGTACGAATCTACCAGGCAGACAGTGTGAGCCAAGAAATCTCTATTCCTGTCTCCAATTTCACATGTTCTCGCACAAGGACGTACCTCGGTGGTGCTGCTGCTGGCGACGACGACGTCTTCCAGTGCCAAAATAGCCAGCGTTCGTTTGGCATCTTTGTGTAATTGTTCGTCGGGGAACCGGAGAAACTCTTTGAGCAACGCGTGCAACGCCATGAGCGTGCCGTGGAGCTTCATGTCGGGGGGGAAACTGCACATGATTTTGACCAACACGTGCACAAACCACTTGAGCGCGATGCGGCGCTCTTGGATGATGGCGACCGTGTCGTTTCGAAGGTGCCGCCTTGGGAACGCCGCGGTCGTGGCCTCCGACACCAGCTTCAGCGGTAGCCACGCAGTGTCGTGCATTCGGTTGGTTTGCTTGAGCATGAGCCCCAATGCCCGTCGCAGTTTGAAAAAGTCCGAGTAGCTAGGGGAATACATGTCAAACACAAGGTGCATGGCTTTCCAACGAACCGTTTGGAGATGCTCCACTTGTTCTGGGTTCGCGGGAACGAAATGTCCATTTTATAAAAGGTTACGGCGGAGTACATGTCCCCCACACGACACACTTGTGTACTTTCGACGGTCGCGGCGTCTAGCGATGCCTGCTGTGCACGCTCCAGGCGCTGGGCCACCTTGGTCGACATGCCGTGAGAGTTTGAAAATGGGTTGGGCTGTGACGGCCTTTCTATTTTTAGAACACGGCCGTTGACGGCTCCGATTGGTCGATTTGGGCCTTTCAAAGGGCAAACTGCCCTTCGGTTGATTTGACTGTGAATCAGGTGCGACGAACAATAAGTTGACATGTCTGCCAGGGTGCATTTTTGTAGGTCCACGGACTAACCATGGAAATCGTAAGAAATATCCAGGCGTACTTACAGTTAACACGAACCTATCAATTGGTGATCAATACAAATACCAAGTAAAAGTACTGTCAAATTGCGTCATATTAACCTATCTCAAGATATTCAATGCACTATTTATGACGATACTTTAGTAATCACAGTTTTAATGTAATAGTGGGCAATGTAATCAAAAATAGTCTAATTTGACTGATATTCTGTACAGTACAAGATACTACTACAGACTACTATTAATACTCGTATGAGGTATTAATACTAGTACTACTGTATTAATACGTAGTAATCTTACAATTATTAATACTCGTATGAGGTATTAATACTAGTACTACTGTATTAATACGTGGTAATCTTACAATTATTAATAGTATTAATATTTATACTATTAATACGTAACGTTACAGTAGTAATTGTTTATACAGTATTGTGAGGCAAAGTTTCAATTCCGATGTTCCGACAACATGGTATCCGGTGATTTCCGGATTCATGGGTCGAGTGCATACAAATATCAAGCAATACTATTACAGCATGAGTATTCCCTCAGACATGGTCGCTCAATATTTTAAGTATACTAATTTTCAATATAATTCATAAATATATATGTAGGACGTGTTGCAATTGGTCGTGTGATGCTCGACGAACGACGAACGAACTAGTAGGTCCTAGATAATTGGTCGCTGTCTTTACAAACATCAAGTACACTTGACTAAGCCTACTAGCCAAAACGACACTGCAAACCATCAACAATTGACGACAGTAGATCCTCATGCGAGTCGGGAGCGTCTGCATGTTCATTCTTGAATCGACCACCCCCTGGTCAGCACCATCATGCGCGTCTTTGCCCTTGCTGTGGCGTTCGTGGCTGCTGTCGATGCCTTCAAGCCCGACAGCAATAGTTGTGTGACCGAGGAAGCCGGCCTCGGCCTCGGCGGCGAGTACATGCACCACAAGCAGGCCAAGTACGTCATCGGCGAGCCGTACGCAGCGGGGTCGTACTACCGCTACTGCTTCAAGGGGAAACTCACGTGCCATCGCGACGCCGGCATCGCCGACTTGCCCATGCCCAAGGCCGAGAACTGTTCCGAGGTGCTCCAGAAGCGCAAGCTCGGGTACTTTGTCGATCCACAACACACGGCGTTATGGCCACATCAAACATTGTGCTACGGCATCAAGCGCGACGACTTTTCGGACAGCGAGAACAAGATCATCGACGACGGCCTCACGTACCTCCGCACGACCGGGCTCACGTTTCTCACGTTGGACGAGTGCAAGGCCGCGCCGAACGCCGACAAGCTGTGCGGCGGCTGCGTCGACTACGTCCACGTGAACAAGAAGGACCCAAACCGGTGTTCGGCGCGCGTGGGCTGGGCCAAGATCGGTCCCCAGCCGCTCAACCTCGGCACGCCATGCTTTGTCGTCGGGAAAGGCACGGTCGTGCACGAATTCCTCCACAGTTTGGGTGTATTCCACGAGCACACCAACCCGTCGGCCAACCTGATCGTGCACGACATGCAGCGCGGGGCCCAAAACTACCTCCCCAAGGCGCAAGCGCTGTACACAGATTACGACAGCCACAGCATCATGCATTACCCGCAGGTCCGCGGCGTTTGCATCCCCCTTGCGCGGAACGACGGCAAAAGATGGTGTGGCCCGCACGAATCCAAATCGCTTGGGTGTGTAGAGCCAAGGGCCAAGGACTGTGACGTGGAAGCGTCGAAACCGTTTGGACAGCGCAAAAAGATGAGCCAGGGCGACTTTGCCACGATCACCAACATGTACGGGTGTGCGAAGACAGGCAAAAATGCCACAATAGAATTTTTGAGGAACAAGCTAGCGAAGAAGGGCGCGATCCATAACGCGGCGCTTGAGACTGGGGCGGCGAAACGCTTCGACAAGTCGTTGGCAAAGGTGCACAAGGCACGCGCAGATGCCAAGGCCGCCAAGAAGGCCGCGAAGAGGGCCGCAAGGAAGAAGAGGGGGAAGAAGAAGGCAAAGAAGGGGGGAAAGAAGAAGGCAAAGTAGAGCAATGGCCACGTAATAATATTATATCTCAAAGAGGTCTTTGTGGATATTTGTTTTTTGTCGGAGTGTTTATTTTTATGCTGACACATGTATTCTAAGTTAACCTACTGACAATTATAGTATCATCACGACTACTAGTATATGGAACGGTACAGCAGTACTACTGTATCGAGTTATTCATACTACGGTTAACATTACCGTTTCGATTCCATGCCTTTTTATAACTTAATAATTCAATGATATACCGCTTAGGCGGGTCTGGATGCCTTTAAAAATTGCATAAAATGGCCAAAATCGAAATATTCCATTTCAAGAGATTTTGCGTCTGGATGCGTCCAAAATTCAAAAAATTATGGCACAATTTTCTTGAGAATCGGGGGTTTTATGGCTTTAACAATATGGACCGATTTGGTCCTACTTATTTATGGAGGTTTGTGTCGTCTTGCACTTCACTGTCGGAAATCAAATAGTTTTTCCATCATTTAGCTGGCATCCAGACGACTTTGTAGGTACATGCAAAAACGGTTTATGGAGTACTAGTAATTGTATGAGGTGGCATCCAGACCACCCTAAATTAATTCATTGTATTTGCTCCTTCGGAGAATGGTATTGGCGCATTTCAAGTAACGTTATAAATTACCTACTTTTCACGCGGAGGCGGGTCCTATTAATATTACCTATGTAATTAAACTCAAACGGTTTTTGATCTAGTACATAGTACTGGTAAGTTACTTTGTTTTGTTTATATATTTATTTGTAGTGTGTTCAAAATAGTAAGATCCGGGTATATTATATTACAAAAAGGAGTATTCATAATACGTAATACTATTAATACATACTACTACGTACTAGTAGTACTTACTATACGTATAGTACTCAGAACAGGATACGAGGAAGAGAATATTGAGCGCACATGAGTGCTGTAGTGTCAGATCTAAGAGAATATTGAGTGCCTCGGAACTAAAATTGATAAAGAAATGTTGAAGAAGTTGACTTTACTGTTAAATATATGGGCATACAATTGGCCCAGACAGTCAGTATGCGTTTAAGGTCCGGATACTCCGTACGGATACCACCTGCTTACAATTATCAAGATAAATCCCCTTGGCCAAATGTTGGCCCAGCAGGCGGTATCCTTACGGAGTATCCGGACCTTTAACGCATACTCCGGAGTAGTAGATATTAAAAACGTATCCCGAAATTTGAGTTTATAGGGTTAACGTGTACAAATTCAAGTTTAACACAGCGTTAAACGATAAAACGAGATTGTCCAAAATTGGAATGAGTACTATTATCTATAATAGTATTACTACTGTACTTAAATAGTAGTACTATTTTTAATTGTACTTCTTGAGGGTCATGAAATCGTGGTTTTCAGAAAGGACAAAACCATTTTCACATGATCCCGCACACGTCGCTTGTCCTTGGGCTCGTTGCCGCCTTCGTGAGGATGGCTGACGGAAGCGGCGGTGCTGCTGCTACGTCCTTCCTGTATCGGACGTACCAGGAGATGGTGCAGACGATGAAGGCGTTGAACACGAGTTACCCGGACGTGGTGGACCTGTTCGTGGCGCAGGACGTGTACGGCCTCCCGTATCCACCGGAACTTCAATGTGAAGAAGACGCAGAAGGCGTCGCAGTCCCATGTAAGCAGTACGTTCTCCGCATCACGAATGAATCGACTTTGGACGCGGATCGTCCCGAAGTGTTTATCAGCGGTGCACTGCACGGCAACGAGCGCGTCGGGCCGCAAGCGACGATCGAACTCGCGCTCCTCCTCGTTGAATACGCCACGACCTTCACGTCGTCGTCTGTGACCTCGGACACCGATCATGTCCGCCGCTCCAAAGCATGGCTGCATCGGTATGTCGGTCGTCCTCGCTTGTCCCCAATCGTATGTATCGTTGCGCCAGGTTGGTCAATACCCGGGCTATCTACATGATGCCCATGACAAACGCGCACGGGTACTTTCACAACAAGCGCGAAGAAGGCAAGATCGATCCCAATCGCGACTACAACTACAAGACCGACGGCAACTGCATGCAAGCCATGACAAGGTCATACTACTACCATGAAATATATATATATATATATATTCAGAAACGATATATATGATGGAATGATTAGTCGAGCCGTGAACGAACTGTGGCGCGATCATTTGTTTCAACTGGCCGTGACGTTCCACGGCGGCATGCGCTGCGTCACGTACGAATGGGGCGCCCCCAACCACATGCAAGGTGTTTAGCCATCCTATTATTGTTAATCCTTTTCCGGATACCATATATATATAAATATATATTCCGTGATAGTATTCTTTCTTTCTTGATATATATATATATTTCAAGAAAGAAAAGATTACTATATATATATATATATATTGGTTTTGATGCAAACTCGTTAATATGTTGATTAATGTTTGTATAATTGGAGCATATATATATATATTGGTTTTGCTGCAAACTCGTTAATGTGTTGATTATTGTTGGTATAATTGGAGCATATATATATATATTGGTTTTGCTGCAAACTCGTTAATGTGTTGATTATTGTTGGTATAGTTGGAGCCCCCCAAGTACGTAGCGAACGAAGTCCTGACGACACGAGTCAAGTGCAGCTGGGGTCGGCACTTTCAACGTTTGCAGGCAAATTCGCCGATGGATCGAACTACCCCACAGGTATTGATTGCCTTTCTTTTACCCAAAATTTGGACCTCAGAATCGCCAAATCTATATCAATCGATACTTTGTACTGTGAATTTGCTATGTAAACAGAGGTCCTGTGGTGCTTTGTATCACACTAATTGAAGTCAAACACTAATTCGACGTTAATGGTGGTTTCCTGCAATCTGATTGGCTTTTGTGTCCATGTGGTTGTGTCGATTGATTCATTCTCCGTGTCGCTCCAGTTTAGAATAAACACTACAATAATACTACTAAACTGTTCCAAGGGAATTGTTTCAATCGATTCCATGCCTATTCCAAATCAAACCACACAACCATGCCATTATGCATGGGAGGAACTATTGTACAGAAGGGACAAAATCCCGTGTTATATATATATATATATATATTCATGCATATTGTACAACTGCTGCTTGTGATAAACTACTTCGACGTCAAGTGGGGTTGTGTCGTGTACTAGTACTACTAGAAGTATGTTGTACAGGTTGGAGCAATGTTGTGAGGGGGGTTTGATTTGATCGAGGAGTACTAGTACTAGTACTAGTGCTAGTATGGTTTTTGAACAATGTGCTTTGATGGGGATTCGATCGTTGGCAACCAACCACGTGTTCCCGACGGCATTTTTATTTGCTGCGTTTTCAGGGACGACGTTCGCTACTACTACTACTCGTACTACTACTAGTACTACTAGGTACTCATGGTGGTATGCTACTAGGCACGATGAACGACGTAGTGTATGGCGTGTACGGGGGTATGGAAGACTGGGCGTATGCTGCATCGTGGGAAAACTCGTTTGGATCTGATTCTGATTCCATATTCACGCCATGCACGCCGACTCAGTATGGACCGTACCCCGCGCACAAGACCACGTACAACAACAAGACCCATCGCGCGTTCAACATCCTCGTCGAGACGTCGGACCTTAAGCGGCCGGCGCAGACGGCACTGGGCCTGCGGTCATCTCTGTACGACGTCGACCTCCAAGTACGTACGGGGGTCGTACAATCGTGTTTTGACAGGTCGTACAATATCAGGCGTTGGCCGACGATCCGGTTGGACATGTGCCCCAAAATGTACGGCTGGCGCTGCTTCTGATTGACATGGTGCAGCCATACGTGGTGCTGCTACCCCATGACGACGTACGTTCAGTCGACTCGAATGGATGGCTTGTGATGCGTCGTGTCTTTTTATCTGATTCAAACCTTATCGCATGTCGTGTGCATCTGATTCGTGGTGTTGTGGGCATCTGATTCGCGTGCTCTGCGATCTGATTCGTACGCATGTCGTGTGCATCTGATTCGTGCTGTTTGTTGTACGTGTGTATCGGATGCCATGCGTCGTGCGCGTGTTTTTTCCCTCGACATCGGATCCATTTCGTGTCGGGAGGGAGATTTCCCCGAGGCTGATTCTGATCCCAATGATGTGCTATATATATATATATACAGTATATGAAAACATGGAATATATATATATACAGTATATGAAAGCATGGAATATATATATATGAAAACATGGAATATATATATATATGAAAACATGGAATATATATATATATATGAAAACATGGAATATATATATATATTCCATGATTTCACAGTACACAAGCCTCTCATGGAATGTGGCAGTCAGTCGTGGTTGTGAACGACCCATTGACCGGATGTCCTGCGTCCTCGGCCCGCCACGTCATCGATTGCGACGACCAACATTCATGCACAGTGACCAACACTACGACCCACGTGCGTGTGCGATGGGAAGTGCTGGGCAGTTTCACCGTCGACGAAACGTTTGTCCAAGTGTCGCCCGCTCGGTCGTTTCAATCCGTGCTGGGTATATATATATATCTCCCCTTGTCACACATAAAACACTGGAATCCCCCACCGACGACCGTGTCACAGATTCAATAAGCTCATACGACATATATATATATATCCAGTTTATCCATCCCTTGGGTAGACGCGACGCTAGAGATGCAGCGGGGGTGGACTCGTCGTCAGCATGACGTGGCTCCAACGCTCTTTGCCGCGTGTGTCCCCATATCCTCGACCCATGCGTCGCTGTTTATTCGCGTGGTGGCTAAAGTGGATCAGGTTGGTTTTCTCAATCAAATGAGTGGCTGTGGTGTCTTGGAAATGAATGGCTGGCTATTGGTGGCTTTTTCGAGTGGAAATCGCTGACAATCCAAGACTAGAACTGGGCGAGTCAACAAGCCCCAGCATCGCCTGCAGTCCCACCGCAAAGTCACCTTGTCAACGCCCGGACGAATGCACAGTACGTACATATGAAACTTACGAGTTTGACACTGCCACATGGTGTACATATATAGGTACAATATGGACTGGAACGGCCATCGAATCCAAGGAACGTTGTACTTTTATTCACCGGTACGACCTCTATTATTGTTTGTTCGACTTCAAAAATTCCCTCTCGCCAGACCTTCGAAATTGCATATAAAACCAAGTTGAAGAGGTATTGCAAATTTGGTTAACCGTTTTTGAATGAACTTGGCAATATATCTTGTATTCACTATAGTGAGTTGTTCAATCTGCAACAGTTTTTTTTAGAAAACGTATTGATTGGCTGAACCATTCAGAAATCTTGGTTATAATGGATTTTGATTGGCTAGTTCATTCTCAAATCGATTCGCCAAGTCTATTCGATTGTACTGGCGACTCCAATTACGAACCGACTTGACAATACCTTTGTGAGTGCAATGTTACAATCAATCTTTTTAGCCAACCAAATTGTAACCTTCATTCTTTGTAGTAGCCAATCAAACTCGTTTGCTCATTATAGTTGGCGATTTCATCCAAAAGAGGCAAATTGGACTGAAATGCACAATATTTGAGTAGTTACAGCAAGTGTGTCCATTTGTTTCTGGCTTTATTGTACCCAATTGGTCGATCATCGATTTCAATTACCAATATTTGGTGTGGCTGAGTGTGTAGGTAATCACCGTGTCGAGATTGAACGACGTCTCCGACATATCAAACAACAGCAATCGTTCTGGTCGAAGTATACATACCGGTATGTAGGTGTGAATCCTAGGAATCGACAAACACAAGCCAGTGTATACTCTACCGACTCTAAATGGGAATTGCATTGTGCGTTGAAAGGTGGGGAACATAACAACAGCAGCATGGACTTGTCTGGGCCGGTGATCGTGGCTTCAGCGTCCCTTGTGACGGTGGGGGGGGTGCTGGGGATGCTGCTACTGGCCCTTCGACGTCGTCGTAGTCGATACACTCGAACGGCAACCTCCGACGAAGAGCCGACTTCTCCGGATAAACCGACCCACGACGACGACCCGTGGGAGGATGTGACACATCCGAACCTTCAATCTACATTGAGAGACAAATCGTAGTACAGTATTAATTTTATCAGCTGATAAGGAACAACCACGTCATATATATCACCCGGTATATTTGACACGTTAGTATACTGTATTTCAAAAGATGTTTCATCTATTTCGATACATCGACCCAAATCAAGGAAATCGCAGGTTGTAGATACAATCATAGATATTGCAATTTCGAGCTAAATTTGGTATTTTCGGTAGATTCGACGAACGACGTTAAATCCACCTGAGATGTCATCTTACTTGAACTAACTATACATACTCACTGTGACTCCTGTCCGATACACCGTTGAACTGTTTGTGAAATGGAGAAGCTTGGCAATGCACCGGATACGCCTTGCAATTTGATTGGTCGAAAGGTTTTTTTTCTAGAAAATTTCATTGGCTACTTTGTCCATCGATTACTGCGTCAATTTATCGAAATATAATGCATGGTTAATCGCTCTCTGTACTATACACTCCATTTCCAACCCTTGAAGTAGTTTCAGTGCATGAACATTTAACTGCCGTTACCAGTTACACATTGTAACCAAACCAAACACAAACTGTACGATTGAATGTCCACGGCAACGCCATGCGTTGGCCCAGCGCTTTCTACGAGTGCCGCCATACACCTGAGGGCGTACTTGGCACGAGGCCACATGCATTCATCTTCGTCCGTGTCTATCCCAGCCTTGTTCCCTCGTCCAGGAGTACATACCGTATGTGCGATGTCGTCATACGTTGTCTCATGCTGGGTTGGATCGTTGGAACTTAGACATCGTCCGCATTGCCACCACCACGGACGCCACTGCAACAAGCGTTGATGACGTGGCGGCACCACAAACTAGCTACGCGAGTCCTGACGTGGGTCGAATTGCAGCACGTGCAGGACCTCGTCCATGAATCGGCGACGCTCCTACCCGCTGAGAAAGTTGTCGCCAATGTAGTCGTGATGCACCTAAGTAGGATTATGCGACAATTACTTGTTGCCAATGTACTTACTCTACGCATACTAGGCCAAGGCACGAAAGACAACTTGCCACCTCCGCACCTCGATGAATTGGACTTGATCGAAGTGACTTTAAATCAACCGCTGCTGTCGTTTGACCAGTTCACAGCCCTGAGACCGCAGCTGCCCCCTGCGGCTGCCACGTATTGCACTGCCGACGTGTTTATGCAACTACAACCACACGACGCGCACGGTCGCATCTATGGCCTCGCGTGGCTGGCAGTGGTCGAGCAGGCGAGCGCACAAGTCGCCACGTATGCGCTACTCCGGTCGGTGGAAAGGAGTAGACGGCTAGTTGGAATCACGGGAATAGGTCAATGTTATGCTGACGACGTAGGAATGCCGACATTTGCGACCGGGGGTACCTGATCGAATCCGACGTGACGGGGATGGTCACAACTTGGCTAGATACTGTGCCGTGGACCCAATCGATTGATGTACGTTGTATGAGTAGGTGCAGGGAAATGCACCCTTTTCTGGCTTATGTGTTGTCTTCGTAGCCAGCATTTATAGAGTACTACATTCGCATCGCGGCGCGACTAGTGTGGTTGCCATTGGTACCATATCGCACAGGTACATACATAATACTTCGAAGTAGGTGGTAACATGGTTGTGGTTGGATTACTACATTGTCAAAATCGTTTGTAGGCAAATTGAGCATTGACAAAGCCATGAAATCGACGGTAGTTCAGTCGCTTATCCCGCTGTTGTGTCGAGAATACCATAATTCGCCCCAATACTCACGCAATCCATTCGCCACCGACAACATTCAACGATTCCATCGACAGGTACTACTACTACTGTAACGTACGTTGAACTCAACGTTCAAGTACCCAACCCTACGACACAAGTGCACTTTACCGTACGTACGACAATAATTTTGCACAGTATGTACAGCTGGATTCGAACAAAAACGGAATGCTCTCGCCCTACGAAGTCTTGCAATATGGTACTTCTAGATTGCAGCACACCATTATAGAGCCAACCAACCGACATACAACTGTACGTAGGCCGAAAGAAAGCATTTGTGGGAATCGACCAACGCCCAACTCATGCCCTAACCCGTCGCTTTGTCCAGCGTGTCTTTGATGAGCTCGTGACATTTGACGGGGAAATGGTAATTACTGTGCATTTGTCTTTTGCACTTATATCGTTTACCACCGTGGGTGGACCTGCACCGTTAGGACTACAATACATTTCTCGACTTGAACATGTACCTACGGGACACCACATCCAAACATGCGTTGCAGGTACGTACGTACATGCACACATATATATATATTATTCCATGTTCTGATATATGCCAACCTACTGACAAGTGCAATGGGCCATATGTACTTCTAGTTCTTCTGGCGTATTCTGGACGTGCACCGGTGCGGCACGTTGAATTCAGACGCGATCGGCTACTTCCTCGAAGATATTGCCGAAGCCGTGTTCGAAGCCACCAACGAGCCGCTGGCGACAGCGGACCTTCGGGTGCGTCCGTCGCAAGCAAGTTGCTGTGTTGATTGAGGTTGGCAGAGCGAACTGTTCGACATGATCCAGCCCAAGCTGCCGTGGGTGCTGACGTTCGACGATGTCTGGTCCAGCGGTCGTGGCCATTCATTTGTCAGGTGCAACGCTGGCCTCCGTGACACGACCGCGTCATTGGTTTGTAGGATCCTCACTGACCACGAAGCGTATTTGCAGTACGAACATGCCAACGCCAAGTGACATGCCAAGTGCAACTTCAACTTCAACACCCAAATACCCAAATACCCAAATATCCGGGGGGGGTTGCGATATACCCGACAAACGACAACAAGATATCCGGTTTTTCGTCGCATATAAATGGCCAAACAAAAGGCATCATGTGTCGAATTTTAGAGGTCGAAGCCAAATTGACTGGAGCAACATAAACCTGCCGCAGACCAATGCAAGCCGAACGTGTGTCGAGTACAGTATATATCTTTTGGAACGGTTGCATCGTTTTTGTTGTCGATGGCAGGATAAGTAAGAAGTATACGTACTAGATATGAGAGTGTACAAGAATGTGTCGCCTTACATTACTGGATGAGAATCCCAATTCTTCCATCTGTACGATACGTAGCGTGATGATACACTAATATGTCGTGACGTTTTTCGAAAATGTATATTCGTATCCTGTGCTGGCACCATGATGAAGCAAGAATATCTTGCACGAGTTAGGTACAGTACAGTACTGCGTCGCAAATAAGTCCACGGGAATCGCAGGCTCTTCTCTGTCACAGGCTCTCGCCACGCATTCGATCCACTCGATCCACGGCAGTAACGCAGTACCAACACCAGTCACAGACCTCTTGCATGGAAAGGACGCTCTGAATCATTGCAAGTCTGAGAACCGACGGCAATCATTTTAGCCAATCATATGCGTTCAGCCCCGACCTGGAGCAATGCCATTGGTCCAGTACTTGCATTTCGATTTTAGCCAATGCATACGCGACATCGGATCCATGTAACATGGTGAAATCTTGGGGTTCCAAGGGGTAGGGAACCGCTGGGATTGGTCGAGCCAGCCGTGGGAATTTCCGTTGAACCACCACTCGGCCACATCGCTTGGGCGGCCATTCCAGGTTTTGGCCTCCCGTACATGGGCTGTTGCCAGTCCACTTCCTCCGTGTCTACTCCCGCGACGACGGTGGAGGCGTCTGTCGACTCGCATACGCCTACCTCCTCCATTTTCCGTCCGACGCCGTTGTCCCCTTGCTACGACTCGTCGGACGTCATACCGCGACCACGACGGTTGTCGCGATCGCCCCACGTTCCCGCGCGTATCCAAGTCACCATGGACGATCCATCCATGACCTCGTTCTATCGCAACTTGAAGACCACTCGTGGCGAAGTAACCACGTCGACCTCCGCCGCGTTGTCCTCATGCGAACACCTCCTCAACCTTCCACACATCTCGAGCAGTCTCAAAGGATTGAAGCGCCCGGCTCCCGCAAGGTCCAAGCACCGCGACGTGATGAGCATCTTTGGCGAGAAAGGGTACATCCTCGAAAGTTCCCATGTTGCCTCCGATGTGAACACACCTACGAGCAGCATCTCGTCGCAGCAACCCCTGTCTCCAACGCTCCCCGTGACCTCGACGTCGTCGTCTCACATCCACATTCCATCCCTCTCGATCTCGTACGGCGCCGCGTCCATCGCAGGCCGGCGCGCTACGAACGAAGACCGCGTGGCATGTTACCTCCACGAAGACAATGCGTGCCAGATCGGGTACTTTGCCGTGTACGACGGCCACGGTGGCCCGAACGTCGCCGACTTCTTATCCACACAGCTTCATCAACATGTGTTTGCCCACGTGGAAGCGCATCCGTCCGAGAGCTTGGACGCCGCGCTAAGTGTGAGCATGCTGGCCACGGACGCGCTCATCTACAACCAGGCCATCAATCACGGATCCACCGCCATCGCGATGCTCGTGGACGGCACGACCATGGCGTTTGCGTCTCTGGGCGACTCGCAAGCGATCTTATCGTCGAATGACGGGAGGGACGTGGTCGATCTCTGTCGCATCCACCGACCTTCCGACACCGCCGAGCGCGATCGCATCATCGCCGCCAAGGGCTCGGTCGTGGACGGCCGCATCTTTGGCGTGCTCGGCGTGTCCCGCGCCTTCGGAGACAACGATCTCAAGACATCCAAGGGCGCGTTCAAGGACAAGTTCAACGGCGACATCGTCGGCGGCACCCCCGACGTGCGACTGCATCGCATGCGACCAGACGATGACTTTGTCGTGCTGGCATGCGACGGCGTTTTTGATGTGATGGCGCCGTCGGAGCTCGCGGCGTTCGTCCATACGCGACTGAACGCCCACGGAGACGTACAAGTGACATGCGACGAGGTTGTGGCCCACGCCTTGCGACTCGGCAGCACGGACAACCTCAGCGTCGTGCTCGTCCGGTTCAATCAGGTCGTGGGATAATAATGGTGTGTTATTTAATTTATTTATTTGGGCGATTGTACTGATTTGGTTGTATTGGACGACCTGGATAAATGAATCATTTAAACCCAGGGGTAAAACACGTGGACGGTTGAATGTACAGTAAGTACTACTATTATAAGTACTACTGTAGTTCCAGAACATTCAAGTCTTTCGTTTTTCCAAAATGGGTCGGAAAAAAGTATGAATGGACAGCAAGAGTGCGGGTTACGACCACCCATAATAACGGCGGTACATAATACTGTACCGAGCCTTTGTCTATACAAGTACAGCAGCCGTCGGATGTAGTACGGTGCACTGTATTTGATCACAAACGCAGTACTATGTACGTCGATCTCCTACTAGTACGTAGTACTGTGGTTGCTTTGCCTGTGACAGTCCCAATTCATGTCAAAGTGTTACTGCTATTACTAATTTCGAAATTCGTAGTATTTTCACAAAAAGTACATTTCATGAATTTTTCGATTCGATCGATCAAACTGACTAGAAGTGATGTGATTGGCTGAAATTTCGAGAGAATTTTCACGCAACGTATACCATGTCGTGAATTTTTCCCCTGTCAATTGGTCAACATTTCATCCATCGGATTAAATAGAAGTGATGTGATTGGCTGAAACGTGTGATGCAATTATTGCTGCTTAAAATAATGTGGACTGTCGTGGATGTGGCGGATGTGGCGGCGACGCCTTGGAAGAATGGCGGAGGAGTGACACGCCAGCTCGTGGCATGGCCATCCGCCGCTACTGAGTGGATTGTGCGAGTTAGCATCGCTGACGTCGAGCACGACGGACCGTTCTCTTTGTTTGAAGGCATCCGACGGTGGTTTGGGGTTCTCGAAGGCGTCGGCGTGCGTCTGTTTGAGTCGATCGATGTCGTTGTAGGCGATGCCTTGTACGAGTTTGACGGTGCGTTGGCACCTTCTTGTTCCCTTCTGGACGGACGCCGCGTTCGCGACTTCAACATCATGCTTCGGGAAGGTCCAGGTCGAAAACTCTACGTTGTCGATGCCAAGGCCAGTCCCGCGTTGACTGTTGGCGCATCGACGCAATGGGTGGGACTGTTTACCGTGGATGGAGGACTGTTAAGACAGCAAGGTCCTTCTGACGTGACGACGGTGGAACTGCCCAAGATGGGTTTGGCATGGCTGGACAATGTGCACGACTTGTCATTGTACGCAATGGTTGGCGCAGGCAGTGGAGTCGCCTACTGGTTGGTGCTACAACTGCCATAAGCTGTGTGTACTAGGGTGATCAAAAAAATAATGTGCCATGTTACTGAAAGATCATCGAAGTACGGCTGAAACAACAGCAAGGTGCATATTGCGTGGCAGTTTGTAGCGCTTGCACATCGACCAAATAATAATGACTTGTTAATGATTCGCAAGGTGAGCCACCTTGCTCCTATTTAATATCCAATCAGAGTGCATCACACACTTGGTACGATCGGATATAACACTGACAGAAGAGGTTACAATAGAGCTTTGTGTGATGCTGCTCTAGAGAATTGTGCACTGATGAGTGCACTCCGACTATATCCAATGTGGTTCTCCCTTACAGCTAACAGTATGTTATGCGCTCGGTTGGGTCGCAATGTCGTGGTGGCTCTGGTGGACCAAAGCGGTGGCGCAAGAGGACTTGGTAGCACCCATCGCAAAGTGCTAAAGCCGCCACTTCAGCACTTATGATGGGTGCCACCAAGACGTCTTGCGCCACCGCCCGCGCAACCACGTGATCACACCGGCAGGGAGGTGTACGACACCGACAAGGGCTGGATGGTGGAATGAGGGATGACCATTTTCATTGGGTTAGTAGACAAGTGGTGAAATGAGACCTGTAGAATTGACCGTGTCCTGAATACCACATGACATAATCTTGCTCTCATACACAGCCTAAACAAGTATCTCAAGGCTCCTTGCATCAACCGCCATCACAGGAATATATCGCAACAGGGCGTGATAAATCTACGCAGCGAATTTCGTGATTTCACGGCATCTGATTGGACAAATTTGGACAATTGCGAATTCCAAAAACACACAGACACATGAAAAATATTCGAAAAACAGACAGACATATGAAAAATATTCCGAAAACAGACAGACACATGAAAAATAAAAATAAACAATACAAACTTGAAGATATATTTAATTGAAACTATACAATTTCAGAATTACTTATGGAATTCGCAAGGTGGTCCGGTCCACCTTGCGCTTCATTCAAAATTGCCTATTTCACCTTGCTTTTTCTGGTTAATGTACCGTACATCCAACAAGTTGCATTCCTTTCAAGCCCAAGCAGCAGTCTGCACAGTTTTTTTTAATATTCCATTTAAGGCACACCTTGTTATCTTGATCAAGGTATGATCATTGGTTTACAAATTTTGTGTTTAGGGTATTTGATTATAGCGTGATCCAATCATTTTGCACGGGTTATAAATTCGCAAGGAGCTTTCTAATATGCATTCTCCCCGTTCCGGATAGACATGAAGAGGATATGTATTTGCAAAGGTTTTCTTTAAATATTTTGCGCAATTTGATTGGTCCTTGAATATAGATCTTAAATGGAGTCATGTGTCTTAAATCGATTTTTTACGTGAACGTTATCTTCCATTTTCTTTTCACAGTCAAATGCCAACTTGGTCGCGTTCGTATGTATTGTCCATTTACCAAAAAATTGGAGTTTTGTGCTGAATCGCCAAACCTAACTTTAAAAAACAATTTAAGATAACTTTTTTGACCCCAAGCCGACCGCCGACAGCGTCGAAGAAGACTATTGAGGACTCGTTCCTTGGTGCGTCGACCAGGCGTACCTACAAAACGTATCAAATGCAATTTGAGACATTCATGCGCACGCACAAAGAACGTGTCGAACCCCATGCAGCGGAACAGATGAGTGCACCGACTTCTTCCACTTCATGTACAGTCAAGGCAAGAAGGCGAGAACCATTGTCCAAGCCAAGTCGGCGCTTGTTGCGCACCTAAACGCCAAGGGACTGAAGCCGAACCCTGCTTAGGACGCGTCAACCCGCCGCTACATTGTTGGACTTCAAAAATACAACAAGCAGAATAAATCGACGAGGAGAAGAAAGCTCACACGCTCACGGTGAACGAATTGTCCACGCTTCTCAACGCGCTGTCAAGCTTTTATCCATTTGTTTGCACTATGGTGCGTCTGGCGTTGGTTGCTGGCTTGATTGGATGCTTTCGGATCAGTGAAGTTCTTGGACTACGGTGGAACGACATTCAACTGGTTGAGGACAATAAAGGTCGGTACCTATCAGTTCGACTGCGATGCCACAAGAAGGCCAACGTTGAAGAGGACAGCCTAGTCTATCACTTGGTTGACAAGACGACGTCTGCGTGTTTGCGCATTCCACGACGACTACATCTCCAAGTTGCGTGAGTGATGTGTCAACGTCCCAAAGAACCCATACGTTTTCCCCAACTTTGTCATGCTCCATGGTGGCGTACCTCGAGTGGACTGGTGTCGTGCCTTGGAGCAGACCACTCTGCGCAACTTGATCCGAGAAGTTGTCGAGATGACGCCGACCTACCCATTGGAATATCGTTGCACAGCCTGAGTCGGGGTGGTTCGTTCTACCGAGTGTTCGAGTCCCGGGAGCGCCGCTTCAACTTTCGAGAGCTTATGACTTGGTGCCGTTGGGCCGATGCGAAAACGTGCTGCGAGTACCTGGTCACTCAGAGCATCAGCAATGAAATCGATCTTACTACGCAGTGGTACTGTGAATGGTCAACTCCAATGGCAAGGTGGCGTTATTGGTGGTGTGCCTTGTACGGTGAACGAGCTTACTCAAAAGTTGGCCAAAAGAGTCCAAGCTTTCGCGTCTGCCGCCGTGCCTGCCCCGAAGGTGACGAAGCAGTTGTCGATGGACAATTTTGTCGCCCAGAAAGCCATACCCACTGCACGATCGGATCGTGAGGCGTGGCTGCAATGGTTTGTGGCGGACTCCGGAAACGGCCTGACCTGTGCGCTGAAGGACTACAGCAAAGAGATGATTCAGTTTGACCGCAAGAAGTACTCTGAACGGCATACATTGGCGATGGCTTTCATCAAGTACCAATCATTTGACCAATTCGAAGCGTCGTACACGGGCTTTACCAATTCGTACGCGCGAATTCTCAAGGAGGTCAGGCGTAGAAAGCAAATTGGTACAATGTAATAGTTAATTCATTTGTTTGCATTGCAGTTGGACTTAGTTCGTTGCTAATTGATGGATTAATTCGTGGACTTAATTCGTTGCTAATTGATGGATTAATTCGTGCTACTTGTACTTTAGCCTTACTCATCAGCACGAAGTTCCAATTGCCAGAGCATAATTCTTAAAGCCTAGTCTACCAAGGCAAAGGATGACCTTTGTACTCCATCAACAAGAACTCCGTTAACCCGTTGCCTCAACCGATTCCCTGAATTGGACTGTGCCACAGTGGAGCCGAGGTGAGGGATGGTGTAGTTGATGGCCTTGGCACCCCCCACCCGAAAGCAGGTTTAAGACGAAGATGGATGCTAATGGCAAATTGGAAAATGAATTGAAGCCGCTAGATGTAGTTTTATTTGACAGTCAGGACGAGCATGACAGGACGAGCTTGCCAGGGTGGAACAAAAAATCTGAATATCAACCAATCAGAGTCTTGTCGGATGTATTTGTCGGATTTCCAAGGTTATCCATACATAACTTTTGAGTCCGTTACGATATTTGAGTTTTGAATAGTGATTCCAATAGACAAGACGCGCCTCTTTGACTTCATAATCGAACTATCAGTTTAGGCGATGAAGTTCACAGGTAAATTTGTTACTTTCTAAGCATTTGTACTCACATTTTGATAACCAATTTAGGATAACTTTTTTTATCTTAAAGTATGTATGTGTCTGAGCATTGAAATTCTGTGTTTAGGGTAAGCAGTTACAACAGGTTGCATATAATTTATACAAGGGTACTGTTTTATAGAGTTAAATTTCTGTTGTGGATGGATGTCCACCGAATTTAACACTCGACAAAACCTCAGATCCAACCCAATGTGGCCCGTGTCGACTAGGGAACTTCAAACCCAATCTTGAATGACTATTACCAATGGCTTCTACGCCATTTTTGCATTTCATTCACGTGACGGAATGGCCAGCATTATATGATAGAGGTTTTGACTCGAACAAATAACGAGGTGTGATTGGGCAATACAAAGTTATCCTAAATTGGTTAAGTTATCTTATATATTGGTTTTTTACGTTACTATCGAAATCATACACTAATTTGTGTGATCAGTGTCTGATTGGCTAAATTTCTTAACGATTTGACCAGTGATTTCACTTGCTTTGAAGTTACAAAACCAATATTCAACATCAAGTATTGAAGGTTTTTGACTGGTTTGATGCACAGGGATTCAAGCCAAGGCCTTGGCGCGTAGCAAATCGGTTAGATGATGAGGCGGTGGAGGATTGGCCCCGGGTTCAAGTCCCAGGGAGTGCCAAGTTTTCCCCAAAAATGAAAATTCTGCAAAAATAGCAAAAAAAGTCTAGCAAATTTCAAAATTTTTGGGGATCGCTTTTTCAAATGATTTCACCACCATTTCAGAAGATATTTTCTCCCAGACGCGAATTGTTCGTTTTACCATTGCCTGTCGCTTTTCTTGGGCAGTAAAGTCCTCACGATCCCTCACGATTGTCTTCCTCCAATAGCCACTCGGTCTTCAGCATGGCCTTGAGAGGCCCCATCACACCAACATCAAGTGGTTGGGAACGACTCATTGAATTGGCCGGCAGCGGCTCCACAACGGTGAACATCGCTTCGGCCACCTTGTCGTGCGACTCTTCCGACATATGGCACTTCAAATTGTCCACTAACAGATCAGACGCGACTTCCGCACATTGGACCAACACGTCATCGATGTACATATACCAAACGCGCTCGTCCATCCACACATTCTTCTGGACTGCGTAGTGATGGCCAGCCGGGTATGACTCCAGCTCCTGCGATTGTGCCACCTGGTTGGCCCTTGACGATGAACAACAGAGGCAACTTGGTTCCTAATCATTCGTTCAGAGTACGAGTATCTCGCGCAAAGGTGTACCGTCCGATCGGATGGTCAGGACCGCGGTCAGCCGTAGTGAGTGTTTCTCGCCGGTGAAAACCTTGCTCGATGTGCCCACCTCGGCCAGCGTCTTGTCAGGGGGCATGTCAAAGTACACGACGTTCTTGGAACTTGACCAGGAGGGCCTTCCGTTGCCCATTGTTGGTGCGGCTGTATTTGAAGTCAAACGTGATGTTCAAATATGTGAAACTAGCCAATTATAATCAAGCTACTCTGTGGTTGGCCTCCGCAATTGAATCAAATTTTGTCCAATCAAACGTGTTTAATCTACTTCACCACAAATGTGATTTTTTGTCGCAAAGCACTGTACGATATTGTCTGCAAGGTAGAAGGTCATTGGAAGGTAGATTTTTGTTTCAGCGATGAATTTACTCAAGTACTGTTTTGCTCCAAACTAATCTCGCCAATATAGCTGCATGGTATGGAAAAGTCAGACCTATCATTCCTACCCGTCTTGCACGCTTACTGCCAATACAAAAAGTGTCAATATCAATTCAGCCCTTGCCTACTCATGGGAACTGGAACTATTATGGACGGAGAAGGCCATGAGCGAACGAACAGCCGAGTATCCCGTGTCGCGAAGAAATGGGGGGAATAGCTCATTGTCAATGGAGGTTTATTAGAATTTTAACCGGATATTATTCCTAACTTAATATTGCCTTCTCGCGTTATCCGGGGGGAATAGCTCAGGTGGTAGAGCATCGGTTTAAAGGTCGTGGGTTCGATCCCCCAACAAGGGCCGCGTACGAAGACGAGGACCGAACTTCAAGGAAGATCGGTCGAAGCACGAGCTATGAAGCGTTCAGCGAAGTAAAAACCGAACCCTGGTCGAGCAGGCGCTTTACAATTGGCGAAGCGGTTCCATAACATATGGTACTAGTATCGGCCCTCGCAGAGCAATGTCTTAAACAAATGATAGTCCAAACTCAATTAACCGTATCGCGAGAAAAATCCGGACGTTCCGTTACTAGCCTCGGTGTCCTACGCCCCGCAGTGGGAGGCTTGCTGAACTCGTTTAGTCCCTGGGGACTGAACCCAGGACGACCATGGACAAGACTCTAAGCAATATTATGGAGCTCCCGGACCAAACTCCGGACGTCCTGGACCTGTATTATCCATTAGTCATACTCTTTTCTTTGAAGCTTAAACCAACTAACTCGACTTTACATGTTGCCCTGAACTACGCGTTTGGTGTTTTACACGCTTGCCTACGCCGCACCTACCCCTTCGATTTGTCGTGAAACCCCGCGTCATTCTGGTGGAGCAGGGTAGGTGTTTGCAAAGGAAGCGCGGAAGAAGAAAGGAAATATGTCGACAGAAGAACCCACGACTACAGCGGTGCGCCAATCTCGCAGTCTGGCGGGACACTTCCCCGGAGTTTGGACTCCTGGACAGCGAACGCCTACTACGAAAGAAGCTTCTGGCCGCGGGTCTGGTCCCAATGCAAGACGATGACGGCGCGCGAGTATCGACTCCGGGACAGAAGCGGGAAACTGACGGGTCGCCAGACGTGTCGCCCCCGACCGACCGTCCAGAGACGCGGTCACCGTTTAGGAGACCGATACTGGTATCGGCGGCTGACCTGGCCTTAGTGCCTACGACTCCCCTGGCCAGAACCGGTACTAACGGTCCGACCCTGACCCTGGCCAGAACTGGTACCGACGGTCGTGATGCCGACGCCGAAACCTTAGAGCGCTATTCGATACCTGTTCCAGCTCCCGGATTCACCTCCCTAGTCGTAGAGGGGTACAGAGGTATGGTATCAGGAACGCCTACCGGGACGCGTACCTGGAACGGTCCCGGAGTACCAGAAAATACCATCGTAGCCACGATAACGGTGGCCACCGGAGGGATACAGGACATCCAGAAGGCCTATGAAGAATTCACTTGGGGCATTAAAGAGCAACAACGAACGGCGTCTCTACTGTTTTTCCAACAAGCCAATGAGGACCGGGCTAGTTTACTGGGTGTTCAGGAATCCCAGTTGGTAGAGGTGGCCGAAGGATTCCTACGGGCCACGAAAACCCATGAAAGTCGCGGTCATGATGAGTTCCAGAAGGCCCTGACCTACCTCCGTGACTGCTATACTCGTGAGCTGGACGTTGCCTGGGTTCAGGTAACCAACGAAGCGAACGAGGTCCTTCACCGGGAAGCGGAAAAGAATGCTCTCTCCTGGGAGGACCAGACCCGGGAACTGGAACGACAACTGGCTCTGAAATGGGAACAACGTGAAGCCCTCCTGGTACGGGACAAGGACCCCGACCTCCTGGTAGCCCGCTGTCTGCATGGAGAAGTCCTGTCCCGGGTCTAGAAGGATGCAGGTTCTCGAAGTGCGCCGCCGGGAAGACCATCTGCGTCACGACGGCCTCCTGTGCAGTCTCCGGAAAGAACTCCGGACCCACAAGCGGAACCATCAAGAGGAAATCCTTCTAGTACGGGAAGCTACCCGTGACGAGGACATATCTCGAGCAGTTGGTCCAGGAGTAATTCATGACACTTACTCAAGAACACACTCAGTGCGGAGAAGATCCCTCGCCCTGGACACGGGAACAGCTGGAACGGGAGAGGCACGCCAATAAAGAGGTGCTGCGCCAGGTAGAGGAAGCGCGCACCTGTTGCAGTTCAGGGATCAGGAAGCTACCCTGTTCAGGGAACGGTCGGTCCAGGACCTCACCCTGAGCCATACGTATGAGGAGGTGGAACGCCAGCGGGCCCAGCTACAAGTGGAATAAAGAGCTGTGAAACTCCAACAAAGGACGCCTCGGAAGACGAACAATGCCCCGTACGCGACATATGGGATCCCGACTCTGTCCCGGATACGGTCCCGTCTAAAGGAAGCGGGATCACGATACTACGTTAACTGCGACGCCCTTGTTCCCGACCACCCGCTCAAACACGTCTACGCCTGCCTTCGACCAAACCTGTCTTATGCAGCTGACTGAGGTGCTGACAGAATCAGATTTGTCCGGATGCCACCAACGTTTACGGTCTGGGACACCACGCCACTTCCGTTTGTGCTGACGGTGGCTCCCATGTCGCGACCCAACCACGATGTCGACTCGTACCCGTCCTCGGGGACCTATGGTCAGCAGCTCGGAGTAGGGTACACGCAGCCTTCCACTCGTGACACCGGGTCGGGGTATACCCCTCCGTTCTTCTATGGTCCAGAACCCGGTGGAGGAGGTTTACAGCCCTGGGGCGGATACGCGGGTGGTTACTCAGGTCGAACGAATCCTCCCGCACCTCGGTGATCATGATATGGTGGACCCTTCGGGGGCTGAGGTGACCCTCCGAGACCTCCTAGTGGTGGAGGATCCGGACATGGAGGATACGGAGGGTACTAAGGTGGTCCTCCTGGCCCTCCGGGAGGCGGATCCGGAGGAGACGGCACTGGTCCCGGATAGCCCAACTCACCCTTGGAGCCCCGTTCGGTTTCACGTGGTTAATGCTCGAAAAAACGCGGCCAAGTTCGATAGTGTCGACCGGACCATCCCTTTGGAACATTTTCTGGCGAAGTTAGATTTCATCCAGAAGGAGTACGGACTCAATGACACCCAGGTCGTTCGAATCTTCGATGACCGCTTGATATCCTGTGGGGTACTTTTCGTCCAGGACTGGTGGGATCGACGGTGCCGTGACAGCGAACCAGTCTCCATATTACTCTTCCGGATGGAATAAGTCAGGTGGGTGATATTTACATCAAACTTGACGAAAAAGTCCTATTATAGGGCTTTTCGGGGCTGAACTTCCAACGGGTGGGAATAAGATGCCACAGGGGACCTTGTTTTCTCTATGTTTGCCAGTGGCATCGCGACGATGCTCCCCGGAGCAGCATGTAATGCGAAAGCTCGCGACTTTCTTGTCATCGAAGGCTCGTATTACTTCCTGCGCACCCCATGAGCTATACTTTCGAAGTACTACGTAGTAAATGTTAACGATTCGGTCTATGATGGAATGCGACGGGTCGCGGTTGATGTAAATGCACTGATTATCACTATCACAGCTACTCGTCGTCCCGCGCATTTAAGTCTGACGGGTGGGGAAAATGAAACTATCGCTGGAATCAGCATAAGACTCTCATTTATCTGTACGTTATCCGTATAAGGCCAGGTCATAAGTCCCAACCGGTGGAGATGCTCTAATGAACCCCAGTCACAACTACCGTTCCGCACCAAATACCACTACCATCACTTTGACTATCGTTATTCTGGAGCGTGGGTGGTGGGGGTAGTGGTGGTAATGACTAGCAGTCAAAGTGATTACCACCCACCACTACCACCCCACCCCTACGCTCCAGAAAAATGCCCAAAAACACCAGTGACTACGATTGCTGCACATATGACCACCTCATCACTCCATTGTACATGCAGTACATTATCACGACTAGCCATGTCATATCGACTCTGTGTTACCTCTAAATCGACCACCAACGGCGACCAAGTTTTCACACTACTTTGCTCACTAGGAGGGTACTTGATGGCATGGTTATGACATGCGCAGCGCTTGTGACCACCAGCACTGCACATGTCACCACCATACGATCAAATACACTTCTAAGTTGTGTGAAAACGGATTACGAAGTGTGGCAGTGATTGTTGATTGTACCATTTGATTCTGGGGTCCCATCGGCGTGCAAGGAGGCGTTGGAGGATGGCTGATGCTAAGAGGAACAACCAATTCACTCATCTCCTCATGCTACGTGTTTATTTGTAGGCGTTACGTACACAACTGATGTAAAGTGGGTTTTTTCAACCAAGTTAATACAGATCATGTAAACCACCACCAACTCGTCCATCGCATAACGATACCCTTTGGAATCATGTGTGTCTTGTGGGCATTGTGTCGACTCTCTCCAAGGTTAGTGACACGAGGCACAAGTACAGTATGTCAGCCTCACTGTATTTATGTCCAATTAAAACCATTACGTTCATTCATTGGATAAAATAATGAAAGTAACCACAACACAACATGTGGTTCTAGTGTCGGTAACCGTATATCGAAAATGACGAACTTTGATGACGCTCGAGCTATGTATTGTGCTTTTCATGTAGTTTGCCCGTTCTTTAACTGCGTTAAACAACCAGACGTTTAAAATAATATAAGCCCTATTGAATATAAAACAACGCTAAACACAAGTTCTGCATTTCAGCAGAATAAAACAACCCTTACTTTATTTCAGCTGCTAACTAATCGAGTTGCAGCACCAGGCCAACTTACGCCGTACAACCACCAGTTCATCACGATGCATACCGTATTAGGATGTGAAATGGGAGTACTATACATCGTGTAGTCGTAGTGTGCCCTTGCCTTCCACGTACAGTGCTAACAGGTTAGAGCAG